TATATATATATATATATATATATATATATATATATATATATATATATATATATATATATATATATATATATATATATATATATATATTTATATATAGTCATCAATGTCAAAAGAAAATAAACAAAATACTCTTCTGAATTTAACTATACAATTATGATCCTATAATAATATATTATAAGTATAGATCGAATGTTGCTTGGACAAATCAGATATGCACGATGAAAATTCTTTGTGATGGCGATTGGATTAGCTTTCTATCTATCTTTTTGATGTAATATGCTGTTTAATTGTTCTTCAATAATTATAATATGCGCTTTATTGTTTTGTTTCTCCTAATGTCTCTTCTTACATTTGTGTGGGTTCTCTCTCAACCTCGACAACCTATGCATGCCCCCCTCGAAGTAAATTTCCTATAAAGTTTGTACCATTTGCAAAAGAGGAGACATGTTGGGGAATATAAAAAACAAGTCCTCTTGGCTTAGATGAGATGAAAGACAATGCCCACTTTTGATTATGAATGATGAGTTAGGACCCTACCCAATCATTACTCCCATCTCCCAAGATTTCCTTTAGATGGAGTCATGCAATTATATTGTACTTGGTTTCATACAATATGGATCATCATATCATTGTTCATCTTCATAACTTTTGTTCAAACAAGTATTTCTCATTACCTTCTCTATTTCTTAATTCTTAAATCGACTGCCAAGAAGCAAATTCACATATTGTTCAATAAACTATCATAAGATTCAACTATAAGGGTCTTTTGTCATCATTGAAATCATAAAAAGCTAACATGTTTAATTAAGAATTCTTATTAAGAGTATTTAAGAATATTTAAATCTCTTCTAATTACTGCATATTTGTAGGTCATGGACATACATATTCTACTATGGTAATAGATATGTATAGCTCTTTAAGTGTACTAACTAACTCATTCTCACATATATGGAAGGGTGATGGATGAAGATGGCACACTGTGAGGACATGAGTGTCTTTGAAGCCAGTGAAAGCTTCCACCATGATTCCAAGAAACAAATTCCAGTTGCCCTCATCATCCCCACCATGCATGGATTGAAGTCCTATTGGGGGGGGTACTCAACCAAATCAATAAATCATGGATTCCTTTCCAAGTGTTGTTGGACTTTAAGGGAGAGGACACTGCCCTTTGTTCCTAGTGGGGTCACACTAAAACACTTGGGTCACTCACTACTCATGACCAATGTAGCAAAGACATTATTTCATTGGCTTGTGGGACAGTACTAGGAAGAATACATACAGAAAAGCATGTTGGAATCTATGTCAGATCAATTTGCTGGGTGGACCTGATGCTTTTACATGTTCTAATGCCAGCTTGATCATTAATGATCTGGTTATAAATCTTACCATGAAGTGATATAGCATGAAAGCAATGGTGGTGTCACTTATTTTGGTGAAAAATGCCAATGCTAAATCAAGGATGACAGATATAACTGGGATCCAAAGAACATTCTGTGATCTGCATATCTTTGCTTTCCATCATCATAGAATCCAAGCACACACTATTTTGTGTAAGATATTACTGAAGGTTAAATGAAGAACAATAAAATTCATAAAGTATCAGAAGTATATATATATATATATATATATATAGCTATATTAAAAGTTGAACAGATTAAGTGTGATTAAGTCAACTAAAACATAAATGAACTTAAGATGAGTCGATCATCAGAGGATGTGAAAAAACTAAATAAACTCCTTAAGATGCACCAAAGGTTGAGTGAATTAAATTAGAGAACTTACAGGATGAGTCAACCATTACCTTGGAGTGTGTCTGTTTACATTACCTTTCATTAGGATGCTACTATTTGGGCAGACTAAATCACCCCTGCAAACTATAGTAATGTCAAATCAGTATCAGAATAAAAAATCAAAAATAAAAAATCATATGCATAGCACATGCTAGTAATAGCACTCACCATAGGTGATCAATGTATTTGAATCAGGAATAAATCAAGAATGAATGGTTTAAGGGTAATGCGTGGAAAAAAGAAACAGTGGCTGATATATTTAGGATGCTCTCTAAATTTAAATCTGTAAGTTGCCATAAGGATAGAGTTTGTTCTTTGTTACTAAACTGATGGATGCAAAATGACATTGTGCATGGTAACCCAATTCAAACTAATAGGATGGTTTCAGGGTTAACAGCATTGTTCCACAAGCAACCAATGCCTGCTAGACAACACAAATGAGAACGTATCATCAACTAGGGTTTCAGCAAAGATTTAAGTTTCACTTGAGCAATATAAATATAAGCTACTTTTACAAGTCACAAGGATTACATGTCCTCGAGTTGTCAAATATTGGCACATCAGGCCAAATACATATCCATAGTTTTAGCCAACAGATACATATATCTGTATCTCCAATAATGGCTTTTCAGATTGCCCTATGGGTAAGTAATTGCACCTCCAATATGCATTCATTAGCACCAATCAGGGTTTTGCCGCCACCTTGTTCAGGGCTGCATTGATCCTGTCCTCCGGGATGAGGATATTACCTTTGGAGTCGAGCCTGCAATACTCGAAGAACTCCAATATTTCCATGGAAATATTTTTGACCTACAAATAGCAGTGCAGCATGTGGGAATTTAATTTCAACAAACCAATCAGACTCGCAGAAGCAGTTGGGTGAATCTATAAATGATGACCAGCAATACTTACAATGTTCATGTCGACACGGAGTTCCTCAAACCATGTGGTCAAGTCCTTGTCTTTGAGAACACAAGCAATGTATATGCAGGCTAAAGCAATCATATGGGGAGGGTGTATAAGAATCAGATCCATCTTGTAGGTATCATTTACAAGACCCCTGTTTGTTTAAGGTATAGAAGATCAGAATGCGTTCCCCTTTCATTAAACAAAATGCATACGCACATGTCAAGGAATAGCCCATATTATTAAAATTTTAAATTTATTTTTCTTTATCTCACAACTATTGTTCCAAAATTGCTATAAGAAAATAATACCATTGGTAATCTGTATAGCCTGTATATTAACTACTAATGGTCTCTGAATCATTTTGGGTTTATGTATTTACGAAAGGCAAGTTCAATCATGCACCAGGCATGATGAAAAGGTTTTTTTGTTTTTGTCCTATCCAACTAAAGTGCACTTACTATCAAAGAGAGAATATTTACTGCTCTAACATTGGCACTCAAGCTTGGGTTGAGCTTCTTAAGTGAAAAGAAACCTATACAAATTAAGCAAAAAGTTAGCATATTGAGTTTAATTGCTTACCAGGCAACCTGGGTCAGATCTGTTATACCAGCATCCTGCAACAACCTGTCAAGTAAGTCTTGATTTTATTCTTAAAGCTGGATTGACCACACAGTTGTTTTGCAAAGTTATACTGTTTAAAGAACTTGTTCATTTGAAGGAACACTTAATTTTCCCCTTTTCGCTTCCTTTTTTTTCTAATAAGGCATGCAATATGGAAAAACTATCAAATTAAAAGGTACCTTAAAAATTGATATAAAGGAACTTAGTGATAATACCAAAACAATTTAAAATTTGGCTTTATGCTTCTGAACAATCAGTAACTTACAAGACATGCATCCGATAAATTTTCATGTTGCTGTGAGGAATTGAAACCCTTTATATCACTTGCCACATATGTCAAATCACAGATAAAAAACTTCAGTAACCATTGACTTATCAAGAAATAGTGCAGGGTTATTTTTCTGCATGCACCGAGGGGAAAGAGGGAAAGGGAATTTCTGAAACTTAACCAATTTCATAATTTCTCTGGAAAAATAACATGATCCAACAGAAAGTCGGGTGCATCAACAAAACTAATAGACCCATCTTTAGCCTAACAAGCTTGACTTCTCTTTTGGAAATTATGTCCTTCACTCTATAGAACCATGAAAAAGTTTAAGCCTGTACGAAAATTTTCTATCATTCTGTCATGATGTTCCTACCATGCTGGAAAGCCTAGGATTTATAACAGGTGATCTCCTCCTAGCTTAGAATAGAGCTTGTGTGAAATGTGAATCACTTACCTACTAATATTTTTGATGATGCAAGCAGAGTTGGAGCACAGAAATTAACTGCTACACCTTAATGGCAGTGTTTGTTTTCAAATTTATGTGAATCTAAAGAAAGGGCCAAGCAGAACTTAGACATCATGGAAGGGACAAGTTCAAAGAAATCATTACGATCAATTTAACATTGTTCATTTGATAGTGGCAGAAAGTACGGAAATCTAAACGAAAGCAGCAAAAGCCAATACCAAACTAGAGGTTTTTTACTTCTGATAGGTAGGCTTGCTCTCCCCTGGGCCAATCAGAGACAGTAAAGGCCAAATTGTGTTTAATAGACAAATGCCTTCAACCTATCAAAACAATAAGCAACAAAAAAGAACTTATCCGAAGTGCAGTACCACAAACTCTACCACCAATCTTAAAACTTCAAATCAATCAAGTGGATCTCAGTCTCTCCATTATTCTTTCTGATTCATCTTGTAATGTTGATAATATTGTAAAAGAATAAATGTTTTATGTTATGTTCTTATTCAGTAATTTCTTTGTGCTAAGAGCTTATTCGAACTTAATTGACTAATTCCATTGCATCAAGGTTCATTAATTAGATTGTATAACATTCACCTTTTATTCAATAGTTACAAGATATGTTGAAATTTTCAACATATCTTGCAACTATTAAATAAAAGGGGAGTTATACAATGTAGTTAGTGTACCTTGATGCAAAATTAATATTATGTACATCGATCCTTCCCAGAGCCAGATTGGGGAACTCTTTCTGTCAAACAAATTCAAATCAAAAAGATTTTGCTCGCTATGCATGAATTAACCCCCTAAAAAATCAATTCCAATTTACTCGGATCTATTCAATGTAATCCACATACCATTATATACCGTAAATTCAAGTATCATATCTTCTATATACTAGAAAGCCAGCAATCAAGCTAAACAACCTTATCTCTTATGATTATGCAAGCTTCTATCAGATACCCTTAATTTTCAAGATATTTAGAAGGGGATACTTAAACAAAGCACCTAATCCAAAAGGTATAATCTAACACAGTCTTATATACACATGATTTGAGACTCGAACAAAGCTTACTATGAGAAAACTATGGTAAATAACCAACATATAACCTAAGTGTCATATAATGATAAATCACATAATGCCAACAAAATCTATAAAGAAATTTTTTGAACAGTTCAGTGATATAGACAAAAACTTACTGAAGGAGTGGACGATAAGGGTGAAAAACAACTAAATAATAATCAAGGGCTTCCAGAACCTTCATTTCCATTTCAAGAATGTCCTTGATTTCAAAGCGGTATTTTTCATCTGAACTTGTTGCACCTGCATCTGATATACATAATTCATAATAGGTCACCAGAACAATAAGGGCATAAGAATAGTAATGACCCTAAAACATTAAATGGACGATATGTTAACAAAGATAAACAATTACACATTTTTTTGATGTAAAATACAAGGAGTCTAGCCTGCACGGTGCTCTCCTCTACTTTCGATGCCAGGTACAAGCAAGTTGGTGCAACTAGGCGCGGATCATATTCGGTCATGCTCTTCCTGCACACAGAAAGCAAAGCAAATAGCCAATTTCAGAATATCTACCACTCTGAGCTAAGCATAGGATTGCTTGTGAATGCTGTAAATGAAAATATTACATACAGTAAGAAGGAATATTTTAATCATCAACTTGAAGAAGAAGATTCATAATAAGGAAACTTTTCATCAAATACATTTAACTATTCATCAGACTTTTGCATTATTTGGGTCCCACAGGCACCTGTATTAATGGTCCATCAAATACACAACTAAATTTACACCCTAAGTCCTAACTAAAGTTGTAAACAATAAAATATTTGTTTAGTTGATAATGAGGATGACTAGCGCAGTTCAGTCAAAAAATGTAGACTTGATCCTCCTACCTGCAATACTGTGAGTCTCCAACTCCTTACTAGGAGACTGAGATTAGGTGTCCAAGTCCTTCAGGATTCCATATGTTGTTTGCTAGATGCAGTAATGGAGATTGCAAAAAACAATGTTGTATTGAGCGCATACAGACTCGAATCATATGTGAATTATGCAACATGATGGAAGACTAAGTGGCTCAGGTGACGTAACAAGGGCTCTTTCAAACATGACTATTGCAAAGTCGCAATCTTCAAACTGCTCTCTAACAAGTCCAGATGAGCTCAGAAGAGGGCTGATCGATTTCATTTTAGGTGACATAACGTAGCAATAGCTTCGCCAGCCAAAGTATAGAACTTGAGGCCTTCCTGTGCTTTTAAGTATTGCAGACCAAGTTTCAAATTATACAGGACAACAGTTGTACTGAGTTAGGTAGAGATCCTCAGGTTTACCAACCATCTCAACTCATTTCCAATTGATATTATTATTTTTTAAGAAAATCTTCCAATCCAATTTCTTTAAACGAGCTAACCCAATCTTGTGAACCTTGGAATCTTTAGAAAAATGATAATTTCGTGCTTGAGGCTCCTATCAATGACTACTGTCTTTATGTCTGAGGCAGGAAGGGTAACGGGCCTACCTATCTCGATAGGACACCAAAAAGGGCGCAGTTGAGTGGTTCCATATTACCAAGCCAAAGGGCAGAACTTCTGTACATGATCATAGTATATCACATGTTCTCATGCTCACAGCATTGAAGAGTACCTATATAAGGTCTCAACTTTGAATTAATGTAACATAAAACCTATTAGTCTGAAAAGCACCATGCAAAGCAACATAAGTTCACAGCCTAATTGACAACAAGTAAAATCTCTATTCAAGCAAAGCAAAGAAGTTATTTCCATCACTCAACCAACTGACACAAAAGTCATATAGAAGAAACCATAACTTTCCAAGATTTCCATGAACGTGAAACCATGCCTTGCACATTTCAACAAGACTCTCACTAGTATTTTTCAAATTATATGACTTTCAAATTTATTAGAGGACTATTTCTAAATCTACTTAAACTGTATGAGATGGATTTTGGAAAAAAAAAAAAAGATCAACCAACTTATAATATGTAATCTGTTCAACTAACCAAACACCAACAGAACTCACACTGAGCCTGCACAACCTAGATAAGATTCAAAAAAAGATTCTTAAAATTTTCCAAGGCATTTCTAGATAACCTATTAACAGATCTGAATATGTTTTCTTTTAGTCTCAAATGGAAGTAACAAATGTCTTTCCATGTTCTCTTGAGAAAATTTATCTACAGCAATTATAAGTTGCAAGAAAATTAAAAATGCCATGGCATATCAAATCCCTAAAGTGGATGGGAATTTGAATATACCTTGTATACACACGTCTGAGATATGTAATTGCAGTTGCTATAACCCTGAAATTAATGTAGATTATTAAATAAGAAACATAAAGATTCAAAGCTAAAGCCATAATACATAACATCATGTAAGCCTTCAATTTAAAAGAAAAAAAATAAATTTACAAAAAAAAATAAGTTTTTGCTTATATTGACACTATCAATGACTACTTTCTTTATGTCTTTATGTAACATATTTCTGTAAAAAGTAAAAACTATCATTTTTATGTGGTTTTATCTTTTACAAATCAATGACTACAGTCAGACTTTTACAGCAAATCCTACACAAAATACAAACTATACCTGTTTTTCTTTGTTCCCTCTCTAGACTTATTTGCATTTTCTATCCTTTTTTGATGGCATTACTGCAACAACAAACTTAGTTTCTATTGTGCTATATTTACTGAATGCTGCATCTTAATTTTAATTAGTTAAGATTCACCAAAGTACCATTTGTCAGGGATGGTATCCAGATTCTTCATTAATTTCAATTTCTTTTTGTGTTGCTGGCATGATCAGCTAGACAAGTTTTGGCATGGCTTGGGATGCTGAAAAATGTCACTAAGGCAGCCAACCAGAAGGCCTAACACAGGTCATTAATCACCAGCCTGCTACCAATATCATGGAGGTAAAACAACTCGTGTTTCATCTATTCCACAAAACAATGATTAATTTATTTTTTGAATTAAATATAAAAAAAAGGTAAATGGAATTAAATAGATTTTGTAAATATTTATCATCAACTGTTTGTTATTAGGGATTTCTTTGCTAATGAATCATGCTAAGTTAGCAGGTTAGATGCATACAAGATAGTTTTTAATATTCACCCTGAAACATAAAAATATATCTATTTCCTTCTACTTGTCAACATCTGAAATTCAACCCCTACAAATCTTAGTAACTTCAAACCACTAAAGGTCTTAGTACTATTTAATTGCTACCATATGCATATGCTCAAGAACAAACTAAAACATATAAGTAGACTAAGTAACCATCATGAGAGCAGCATGTCATTGTGACACTGCATGATACATGCTTGGAACTAGCAAGTTACCATATCAGCCCTATACAAAAACGATGCTTATAGCCATGGTTCGCCTTACTGGTCCGTATCAGTACCAACCAGTTATCGGTACAGTATGTACCGAACTGTACCAAGCATATTGATACATGATACATGAGAGCGTACCGATGGTCTCCTATCATACTGGTATGTACCACCCTGACTGAGCGGTACAGTGAACCTTGCTTATAGCTATCCTAGCAAGCAACCGTATCAGCCCTATACATAGTGATGCTTATAACTATCTTGTTATCTTTGTTGTCATAGTATTATCAAACCAAACTGGGTTTTCTCCTTCAGTTGCCACATTAATTGATAATGGGACACCAACGGTGTAAAGCAGCCTGTTGATTACTAAAATGAAGATAGCCAAAGAGTGTCCATAAATCCATATCAAAAGGTGAATCTTAGTTTCATCAACCCAAAAAAAGGTTCAGAAATGGATATCAAAGTGACAAACTGACATAGATTAAGTGGTTGGCAAAAAGGGAAAACCAATATCTAACACATAAGAATCCACATCAAATAGACAGTTTAAATACATAGAGTAGGTAGGAAAGGAGTAAGACCAAACCTTTGCCTCACTTTAACTTGTAAAGCCAACTTCCAAATTTCTGAAAAAAAAAAACATGTTTGCTATCAATTAGAACAAAAGAAGTTCCAAAATACAAATAATTGGGACATACTTGTGAAAAAAGTAAAAGAATATTATTTCTTTTTAGAACAATAATCAAATTTTGGTCAATATGATTCCAATAAAACAAAAAAAAGTGTTTAGTTGATGTAATAAGTGAACTATCAACAGTATAGGACTATAAAATAAAACATAGAATAGACTAATCAAACAACAACAACAAGGCCTAAATAGTATAGAATAATCAAAGAGCAAAAAGAAAAAGAAAAGTCTCTTAGGAAAATTGCTAAATACTAAATAATAGACCCTATTTAGATAAGCAAACATTTCTATATATTAAATTATAATATTTTCCTGGATGAAATAACATAATGAGTTTCACATATGTCAAAATTACTCCCTTAAGATTGCTTGCCCGTTCCAAAGGCATTCTTAGACATAAACTCCTAGTTAATTTGTTCTCACATAAACTTCCTCAAACAAAAAATAAAAATTCTCCTATATTACTCATCCATTAATTTCATTTCTATAAAAGAAAAATGATGGATGATTCTAATAGTCATTTTCACATTAAACTCACTACCAATGGTTTCCATTCCATGGCAAAGGGCACATACTAGTAACCTTTTCTAGCATTGTATATTGTGTCGTGTTATACTAGCACTAGTCCAACCATGTGTCAGAACAGTTTGCTGCATGACAACCCATGCCGGGCCAATCCTTAGTCACCATAATGATAAGATTATTGTTTTAGCTCCCAAAGGTGTTAGTGAAGCTAGTGCACAAGGCTCCCGCATATGTAGGGTATGGGAGGATCAATGTATGCAGCCTTACCCAATAAAGAGATTGTTTCGGAAACCCAAACACTGATATTTTAAATCGAAAATGTTTGTAAAAAACTATGCAAAAGAAAACTAACATGGTTCAGCCAATGCCCATACAACGTAAAAAACTTCCACTTTCAAGAAAATTGATTACAAATCTGATATTAACTATTCCCTAATATGTCTCTCTCTCTTTTTCACTCGCAATCTCACTATGTCACAGTTCCCCTAAGATACACCACACCGTGACCACTCATGACTTTGCAACACCTCAAACCTCAATTATTGCGTCACACAAAGAACCAGTGGCCTCTAACATACTACTCATACAGCCACATCTAAAGTAAAACCAGTCGACTATATAATATTTTAAATCCTGACAATGCTAGGACTGACTGTCTTAATTTGAACCATCACATCACATTAGTTTGACACAAATAGGAAGAAAGTTGCATATAGCACCTTAATAATGTACAAAATAGATAAGCCATACTCCTCAACCCTCCCCAGTGCCGTAGTTATCATGAATTACTGATTACTGCAGCTGCAGATTTTCAAGTGCTAGAAAACATAAAATATGGTGTAGATGTCATTCCTATAGGAAGTGTGGAACAAGGATCTTCATTTTGAACCGACAGGTACATACCGGCCAATATTTACAGGTTCGAGTGTGAATTGAGATGCGGACCGCCCATTTTCGGAGGGTCAGGGTCCAATACATGGCTTATTTCCAGGTAAGCCTAGTTCTTTTTTCATTAGAATAATGTTTCGCCCAGCCCAGCTCTCTTTCTCATGCAATTTCTCTATCTCTCGCGCTCGCCTCCCTCACGCCGGCTGCTATCACCCGCCCGCTGCTCGTGTCACCCGCCCGTCTCTTTCGCATACGTAGAAAAAAGGCATTCTCCGTATCCCACTGCTCCATGATTATTTCGATTCTCACGTAGTGAGAAGCAAATTTCACAAACATTTCATATAAGTGCCGAATCAAAACAAAGGTGACACCATTGACCACTCCAACAATCAAGAGGATTCAGGGAAGATAACGAAAGCAAGAAAAACCTAGAAATCCGAGTAAGGGGATGGGAAGGGAGAGATGAGATGAGCTTACGGAGGCTCATGTGGATCTTGATGAGCCGGAACTCCTCCAAGGTGACGCCCTTCTCCTTATCGAGGCGCTGGACCACGTCGACCTTGTCGGGGTCGAGGAGCTGCTTGCTGCCCAGATCAATCCAACATAAATGCATCATCGAATCGAGAAAGGGGAAAGAGATGGGAAGAAACATGGACGGGAAGGAGAACAAAGAATGAATTACTAGTGCGACGAGGTCCAGAAGTTGGCGGCCATCTCCGGGGAGAAGGAGAGGAAGCGAATTGAGATGGGATGCGGGAAATTTTCTCGGAGCACAAAATAGGGTTTGCGATGATCGATAAAAGAAGCAACTTTCCGCCCTTTACTAACGGAAGAAATAAGATAAATAGTGCTTTATAAATATAAGAACAAATTAAGATTTCTTTGTAGGAGTAATGAGGCAGTTAATTAATGTTACTTAAAACAATGAAAATTGTAAATTATTAGAAAATATTTAGTACTCATAAAAAAAATAATTAAATAACCAATAATCAATGAATATTTTAGTATGTGTTAAAAGAAAATTATAAAATATTTTAATTTTATATTATTAAGAAAATAAATCCAACTAAAAGCCGAGATTGATACGAAGATGATATCATTGTTGCAATCAATAAAAAAAATAAAAACTTCTTTAATAATTTATTTTACTAATTATATGATTTTTATTCTTATCCTCCCTTTATACTTATAACATTAAAAAATACATGAAGATACCAACTGAGTTAATTAGTAAAGATTTTATTATATCATTGCATGATCCTTGAGATTATATAGTTTCACTCACAAAAAAATATATATAAATTTAATTTTCATCCTTATATTGTTATATATATAAGAGAGAGCGTAAATTAGTGCAACGAAAAAATTACTCGTTTCAAAATTCTTCGTTTCGTTTAAACCCAATTTCGATGAAAATCATTTTGTAAAGATTTTAACTTGAAAGCGTACAGGAGCATAGAGAAAGCAGGAAAAATGTAAAATAGCTTGCAAGAAAGGTAAATTACTCAAGACGAAATACAAACCAGAATTTAGAGTGGTTAGGTCGTTGTGACGTACATCCACTTTCGGATTCCTCCTCTATCGAGGTCATCGGCGTCCACTAATGACCTTCCTTCAATAGGTAAAAACCAATCACCTTTTACGGTACTTTCTCTTTTCATGGGTTTAGGAGATAACTCTTACAAGTCTCACACATCTCTTGAATGATCTCTAGAAAGGGAGGAGTACTCTAGCACTTTTACAACACTTTAATACTTCAAAGACTCAAGATTATGCTAATACTTTCGTGTCCTTTTATGCAGAAAAGGGTGGGATATTTATAGGCCCCAATGACCTCAAAATTGGAGCAAAAAATATTACATTTTCGGATTTTGGGATACTCGTGGTACAACTATAATTATTGGGCGATACTACCACCTGCCACATGACATTAGATGGTACCACCGTCGACAACATTAACTGTAAGTGTTACCATCGCCCAAAGCTCTCGGGAGATCGAGTCCCGGGCGATGCCACCGTCGGCTGTGACTTTAGGTGCTGAGTGGATTGTTCAACCAGCCTAATTCAGCCTTGTTAAGGGCCCAATTGGCCCCTATCTTAATTAGTGAGATTACCTCATAATCCTAACTCAACTAATGTACTAACTATGATTAAGGCAAACGATTAATTCAATATGTTGATTTCTCTCGGTGATCCTCCGGTGAACTTCTCGACGAGTCTTCCGACGCGCTTCCAGCGAACTCCCGATGAACTCTCGGTGATCTTCCGACGAGCTCTCGGCGATCTTTCAACGAACTCTCGGTACATCGTCTGAATCTTCGATTCCGGCTCATCATCTGCTTTACACCTTACTACTACCGTAGTTAATCCTGCACATTTATCTCAACACATAGATTAGGTCAAACAACTTACCAATTGATTTCATCATCAAAATCTAAGATTCAACACATATATATATATATATATATATATATATATATATATATATATATATATGAGGAGAATTTATGAAAAAAGTTAAAAAAATCTTGTAAAACACTCATACTTCAAAAAATTATGAACCAACCGTTTTTTCCTTTTTGATCATTCGAACACCTTTATTGATCATCATCTTTATCTCGTCATTACTTTTGTTAAAACCCAATAGTATATAATGATAGTGTTCATCTAAAGCCTGATGTGAAATAGTCTTGCACGTGTTGAAAGGAGTGATCAGCCCTCGCACGAGGGATATAGACAATGGGCGGTGATTGGTCATCATGCAAAGCTACAAACGAACACCATATAATGTTACAAGTGGAGGGGGGTGGGCATCGCTTGCGTGAGGGTTGCAAACATATGAGACGAGCTATCGCACAAGGGACAAAGTGGTCTTTTCATATAGTCAAAGCTTCATATATATATATATATATATATATACACTATGGGCAACGACGAGCTATCGCAT